TTGCTTGAGTTCTACCATTTAATAGAATTAGTCCTTAGGCGCCTACCGGCGAGGAGACGAGATGACATGAAATGCGAAATGAATACTAGTATCAAGAAATTATTATCCTGAATTATCTAGTTCACGAAGCCTAGCTAAAATTCGAGCATCTCCATCCCTCGCCCCCTTTCCTCTTTGCCTCTTTGCCTCTTCCCCGTTCCCCTGAAAGAGATGCTAATCCATTTAGGTTTATTCACCCGGCAGTTTTTCCCTTGGTCCAAAATTTCAACGGTACAAAAACCTCAAGGACCGTAGCCATGGCTCGAACACAGACCACTAATAATCAGCATTAGGCAACCACGCCTCCTAACGGATGTAACATTATGACTTCTTAATTTATTCAATTTTACATATGGAATAATGACGAAATGCTGGCAAGAAAACCAGATGAAAGACCAACATTTACTGAATTGAGGAATGAAGTCAAAGAAATGGAAAACCAACACAAGGTAAGCTNTTCAATTTTACATATGGAATAATGACGAAATGCTGGCAAGAAAACCAGATGAAAGACCAACATTTACTGAATTGAGGAATGAAGTCAAAGAAATGGAAAACCAACACAAGGTAAGCTACTGGGAGATTGATTTTCAATTGCCAAAATTAATTTCAGTTATTAAACAGCACTAGGAATGTTTCGCAGGAGTTATAGTGAATCAGCCCAGACGGCTGCCGTTTGCAGTGATTGTAAAACCAAAACTGCAATAATCACATCAGTATAGTTGATTACAACACGCTCAAGAAACCAAGTGAAAGGATTGATCAGAACTCCCAGTAAGACCTGGTAATAGTTCTTTCCAAGGATAATTTTTCCGTTTATTGGAATAATATTAGATTATAGACTACAAAATTGCCTAAAAGTAGCTCTCCTTCAAGTTGGATTATATTACGCATGATGCAAATAAGAAACAATTACTGTGACGAGCTATTGGAGACTTGCATGATAAAGTCCCAAGACCCCTTGCAAGCCAAGTGACTGTTTTGATCATCGGCCTTATTTCCCGACACGTCTGTTGTTGGCTAGAACTTAGCAAATGAGAGAAAAATCATATACTTTCCGTTCATACACGTAAATTAGGCGTCGTAAGGTAACAAGGACAAACGCATCAAATGAACTATTACTCTTGTCATATTTTCTTCTCTGCAGAGGTTGATCAACATGGAAATGTATGACAAGAAGTTCTACGCAAACGTTGAAGATTTAGTCGTGTAGGAGAACTAACGGTTCTTTTCATAATAATGGTGTAGAAGACAGTACTTACTGACTGTATAGACACTGTAACAGTTACTCCCATAACTTATCAGAATTAGTGCTGTGATGACATATTTTGGTTTTGGAATTTAGATTGTTAGAAGATATGCATTTAGTTTGAAACCGTTTGTTTAGACACCCAAAATTTCCTCAGTAGGAAAGAAATGAACTTTGATGGAATTATTTCACACGAGCTCGCGAAAAATAAAAGATTTGTTTGGTCTTGACTTTTATACGAGAAAAAGAATCCAACACTTTGTCAAAACCTCTCTCTGATAGGCTGGTGTTGAAGAACTGTTTGTTCTAGTTAATAAGATTTTTACACAACTATTTAAAAAGTGTTCTGATCCCTCGTACACCGTGTGATCCCTTGTGACCAGTTCACCTAACGACGTGCCCTTAGATGGGATACAAACTGAACGTAGTTATAAATCCGCAGTTCTAAGTTCTAAGTACCGTAATTACAAGTTCATTACCTTATCACCGAAGACTGAGAAATATCTCGGGAGGCTCATAAGGAAGCCGCGCCAATCACCTCCGCTAGTGCCACAATGCGAGCATTATTGTCTGAGTAGCGTTGTGGGCGGTTCAAGGCCTGGCTAGTATACAGGCGGAGGATGTAAGTGAAATTACACCCATGGCACAATTTGTTTTCAAACTTTTATTCAGGAAAACATGTACTGTTTATGCAATGCTTTCGAGTGGTTTACCCTGGAATATCCCCCTAGTCAATTTCTCTGCATACACACAAGCCTTTAGGCAAGTGTGGATACCAAGAAAATACAAGTTGCAAGTGGGATATTCCACGGTATCCCAAGAGAAAGTATTGCATAACTACTTTATACCTCATCATCGAAAATACAGCGACCAACACAATGCAGTGCGAAATGGAAAGGTCGAGTGTAACATCGTTGAGTATTCAACAGCTTTCCTGTTTTCTGCTGATTGGCTGAATTTCCTATGGCATGGTACGAATCATAAATATATTGAATATAAACACAGCTTTGTACTAGATCTTTTGCTGCATTTTACCAGATTAGAGTAAATATACTAAGCATTTAGAAAATTTAAACAGAAGCCTCACAGCTGTGCTTTTGAAGTTTTTCTTCGAGTCAATTTTTACGCTTAATAAAATTTGTGGTGCTTAGATCATCCTAAACGTGTTTCCTTTTTACAT